TAATGATTGTTTTTAACAAACATTCGGAGAACATTTTAGGCTATAAAAGTTGTGAACATATAAAACCACATGAGCAAATCCTTCTTATACAGATTCCCCAGGATTTTCCCTGAAGAAGTGTACCGCTGCCACCGTGGAGAGAACATGGCAGTGGTGACCTGGACCCTCCTTGCTCTGTTTTGGTCCAATTTGGGCCCCTCGGTCGTTTCTTCTTTAACTGTCATACCAGACGTTGCATCCGATTTTAAGTGTATACGTTTTTAGTAATTTACAGAGTTGTACACCTATCACCAGCTGTCCAGATTTATAATATTTCCATCACCCCAAAATGATTACCTTGTTCCTAGTCACTCCCTGTTCCCACCCCAGACCCAGGCTGCTCTGCTTTTTGTCTATAGGTTTGCCCATTCTGTATGTTTTATATAAATGGAATCATACTATATTGTGGTCTTTTGTGGCTTGCTTCTTCCATTTAGCATAATGTGTTTGAGGGTCCTCCACGTTATAGCAAGTATCAGTACTTTGTTCCTTTTTATGGCCGAATCATAGTACGTGGTATGATGCATACACCACATTTTGTTTGTCTCTTCGCCAGTTGATGGACACTTAGGTTGTTTCCAGCCCAGGGCTATTACTTACGGTTAGTGCTACTGTGAACATGTGTACACAAGTCCTTTTGTGGATGGATGTTTTCCTACTTCCTGTGTGGATACCTGGGCGTGGAATTGCTGGTTGGGCAGCCAAGTTTAACTTTGGGAGGAACTGCCCTGCTTTTCCAGAGTGGCTGCAGCATTTTCCAGCCCCAGTGGCAGTGTGTGAGGTGCCTGTTTCTTCACATCTTCACTCACCAACACTGGTGACAGTCCCTTTTTTTTTCTTTACTGATTTTTTTTAGACAGAGAGGAAGGGAGAAGAAGAGAGAAATAGAAACACTGATGAGAAAGAACATCAATTGGCCGCCTCCTGAGTGCCCCCCACAACCTCGGTATGTGCCCTGACCAGGAATTGAACCAGTGACCTCTTGGTGCGTGGGTCGACACTCAACCACTCAGCTACATTGGCCATGCAGTCTCTTTTTTTTAGATAAAGGGAGGGAGGGAGAGAGAGAGAGAGAGAGAGAAACACCGATGTGAGAGAGACACATCTATTTGTTGCATCCCACGCAACCCAGACCAGGGCCAGGGAGCGAACCTGCTGCCCAGGTATGTGCCCTTGACTGGGATTTGAACCTGCGACTCTTTGATCCTTGGGTCGAGGCTCTAACTGCTGAGTCAAACTGGCCAGGGCTATAGTGTCTCTCTCTCTCTCTCTCTCTCTTGAAATATTTTTATTGATTTTTTATTTTTAGAGAGAGATGGAAACATCAGTGTGAGAAACATTGATCAGCTGCCCCCTGCACACCCCCCACCGACGATCGAGCCCACAACCTGGGCATGTGGCCCTCTCGGGAATTGAACTGGGACCTCTCAATCCGTGGGACGACGCTCACTCCACTGAGCCACACCAGCTGGGCTTCAGTCTCTTTTTGATCATAGCCATCCTAGGGGAAGTTGCTTTATCTTTTTAAGTGATGCTAGAGCCTGGTTGGGATCAGAAGAGGGCAGGAAGTTAAAGATGTGGGTGAACAGACTGTGGTAATAATAGAAGACTACCAGATTTCTGTTCCGGGGAGTAGGTTGTGGTACGTGCTGGGGAAGCCCTGCTGGTCCGCTCTGGGCGATGACGGCACAGAGGAGACCATGGTCTCCAAGGAGCGAGCGAGGGGGGAGTGACATCTCCTCCTGTGGCAGCTCAGTCCTGCCCCCACCCCACAGCTGGGGTGAGTGAGAGGATGCCCTGTGCATGTCCATCTGGACTTGCCTCCTCTGGAGCAGGCAGGCCAGCGTCTGGCCCTCAGCCATGCTGCTTCTGGGCAGCGCTCAGGGCCTGCCCTGCCTGGACAGCCCCTCCCACCTGCCGCCCCCCTGGAATGGATGAAAGGGTAGTTTTCTAGGCAGACTTCAAGAGAGCAGGCCACCAGGCCCACCACCCACACTTGTTTCTCTGAGATCCCCATCTTGCCCAACCCTAGGGAGACAAGCAGGATCCAGACCATTTCTCCTGAGAATACTGGGTGTATTCACCTACCACCCGGTCCCCATCCCCCAATTGTCACTGCCACCTCGAGACCCTGAGGGGGCATCCGGAGCACTCTCCCATCTTCCGAGACATCCATTTCCTGGTCCTCGCTACGCAGTCATCTGTTTTTCCAAACCCCCACTTGTTTACTTCTCTGGTGCTTTAAATAGTCACTTGAGAGAGCTCGCCAGCCAGAATGTTGTTTGGGGCTGGACTGAGCGACTCTCAGCCTCATCGGCATGTTATTCTTCATGCTGCTTCCGCTCTGCTTAGCACACTCTGTTTTTTGGAACCAAGCCAGCCTGGGGTTGGCCTTTCCCATTAGAGTTGCCATCCAGGGCCACTGCAGGGGATGGAGCCCGGCGAGAAGCCGCCTGCAGCCTTGTGGCCCAGGTCTCACTCTGTGGACCAGCTTGTGCCCTAACCTCAGGCCAGGTGGTGGTGGGTCTGGACCTCAGTGCTGAGGGTGGGTGATGGCACCAAATCCCATTATCACTGGGCCAGCTATTCTAAGGGGAAGGGGCATGGGGTGTCCTCTGCTCTGAGTCTGTCCGAGGCAGGGCATGCCATTATTGGGGATACTGGTTGGGGGGTGTCCCTAGGGCACCTCCTGCCATGAGATGGACTGGCCAGACAGCTGTGTTACTCAGTGTTTCCAAATGCATCCACAGGAAACCAGCTACTTGAGAAGGAAACTTAGTTTTTCTGGGCTTTAGAGAAAACCAGGACACGACAGAGTTCCCGTAACCGATAGGCTGCTGGCGGGGGTGTTTTTTCCACACAGAGACAAAAAGGAAAACTCAAGGGTAATAGGAAGCTTTGACCTTAGCCAGCCCGGCTGCGGGGGTGGGGCTTCCCATGAAGCCTGGTCAAAAGGCTGCGCAGGCCGAGGGGCTCCCCATGCTCTGCCCAGCTGTGCTGACCTCTCAGACCGGCAGGACCGAGGATGCGAGAGACGCCGTCCGCACCCGCCACCGTGCAGAGCCTCCTGCGGTACTTCCACCGGACCAGGGCGGCCTGTGCCAACAAGCACCTGTGTGCTCAAGGCACCACCCTGTGGACCCACATTCGCAACCTCATGTGCAAGGGCAAGGTGGGCTGGTGGGTTCTCGCGGGGCTGTGTCGGGACAGGGCCTGTTGCCAGATGTCTTAGTCATCGCCTGTCCCTGTCCCTTTGCTTGCTGGCTGAGTTGGCCAGTTCTCGATTCTGGAGGGGAAAGGGTTTCAGTGATGACCGTTCTTTGGAAGGAAAGGAAAGGTTTCTCCTGCTGAACCGGCTTGTTTCCCTTTGTTAAAAGTCCTACTGGTGGTGGCGAACGCTCCCTCCGTAGAGCCGAGGGGACAGCGCCTGCCCCTTCCTGGGTGGCCAGGACACGGGTTAAGGGTGATGGAGCAGCAGTGCACTCCCCTCGTTCTGTTCTGCTACACCGCATTTGGTCACGAGCCAAGAGCTCTGCTGGCCTCAGCATGTGGAGGGCCCTGGTGTCGCCCTCTCCTGCCCCCAGGGGGGCCATTACCTGGGATTCACTCTAATGGGGAAGTGCCTTTGGGAAGTTTCCTTTTCTGAGTGGATTGTGACTTCCTGGTCCCTTCTGAGAGACCCTGCCCCTCAGCGTGGTGTCCCTGTGGCCCAGGAGCATGGCCCCTAAGGACCACCTGAGACAGATGCCAGATGAGAACCTGTGACCACCCTTGGTTTTCCTGGGTCATCCTCTCTGTACTTTAGATCTCTAGGAATGTTGACTAATGAGACTTGGGGGGGCAGTGAGGAGGTTCACCCCCAGGGGTGCCTGGAATGAGCCTTGTGCAGAGCAGGTGCACGGGACAGGCCCAGGTGCACAGACCTGGGAGGCAGAGGCAGCTGGGCCTTGTCTTCCAGCTGCCTCACCTGCACAAGGCCCAGAGAGTCGTGGCCTCTTGGGTCCCTTACAGTGGATAAACATGTGATACCTGTCCTGAGGCCCCCCCTCCACACCTGGCATTAGGCTCAGGAACATCGTGTGTCTGTATGTGTGTACATGTTTGTATTTGCATGTGTGTGCAGAAGTCATGAGGCATGGTCTCTGCTCTTCAGCACTTGCCTAGTAGTAGAAATGGACCATCATAGAAAGCAAGGGATGACATCACAAGGAGTGGGGGCAGGTTATATGGTATCCTCGGTCCTGACCTGGTTTCACACCAGAATCTGGGGAGGTTTCTAGTTAGGTGACTTTAAACAGCATGGTTCTGCTCGGGGGGGGGGGGGGGGGGGGGGGTAGATGTTCAGAGGAGCTTCCTGAAGCCCCTGCACTAGCTTGGTGATTTGGAACTGGGCGCTGGCTCCTTCTGGGCCAGACTCTACGCCGCAAGACAGACTTAGGCTGGAGGCTCCACTGCACAAGGTCCTACAGCCAGACTAGTGCATACTGTGGGAGGGACACTCGCCCAAACTTTTGGATGGCATTGTTCCCAGGAAGCTGCCACTGAAATGGGACTTCCAGAAATGTCACTTAAACCGACTACTCAGCCCGGGCTGAGCTGTAGGTAGCACCTGTGATGGTTGGTGAGAAGGAGCAGCATGGCCCCCGCTCCTGGACTTCAACTCCCATCTGGACGGGACAGAGGGAGGGCAGGGCGCAGGCCCCACTGTCACCACCTCTCACACAGGGTGAACCTGAGCCCCAGACGGCAAAGGTCTGGGAGTAGGAGGGCTCTAGCTTCCCAGGTTTCCAGCAGATCTTCTCCCCTTTATTGATCCCACTTGGCCTCTGGGTAGAGATGCTGGCTGAGGTCCAGCTCTGAGTCCGACTTAGGTGTGGAGAAGTAGCAGGCTTGGGCTGCTGCCCGTCAGCGCCTCTGCACAGACCGCGGGGCCCCTGATAATCATGACTCCTTGCTTTCAGCTGGACCCCCAGGCCCTACAGGACAGAGACTGGCAGCGGACTGTCATCGCCATGAATGGGGTATGTACCCATGGGGTTCTGTTGGCACCCGCTTAACTCAGCTGGTCAGCATCGCCCTGGCTAGAGGGGGGTGTGGCTGGAGGAGGGAGAGGCCCCGAAGAACAGAATCGTGCACAAGAAGGAATCTGTGTGGTGTTTGGAGTGCAGTCACTGGGCAGGCCCTGAACATCCCTCCGGAACATGCTCCCATGGTACCACCCTCGGCCCTGGGTCTGCCCATGGAAGCTGATGCCCCTAGTCAGTCCTCAGTGCCATTCATTGATTTATTTATTATTTATTCTATCTGTCTATCTATCTTTATTTTATTTTATTGCAGGGAGGATAAAAAGGTCAGGCCTGTGGACAAACCCAGGCTAACAGAATTGCCTCAGTGCCCTTTAAAAAAACATTGTCACACACCAAAAGAGGTCTGGGCATATATGACAAAACGTTAACATTTGGTAGATAATTAATGGTTTTTATTAATTATTCTCTGGACTTTTTCTCTAGTTATTTGTTTTTTATTCCTCACCTGAGGATATTTTTCTACTTATTTTCAGATAGAGTGGGAGGGATGGAGAGAGAGAGACAGAGAGAAACATCGATGTGATAGAGCCACATGGACTGGTTGCCTCCTGCACGACCCCACCAGGGCTGGGGACGAACTGCAACCGAGATACGTGTCCTTAGTGGGAGCCAAACCGACCAGGGCTCTAGTTATTTCTTTATGATTAAGAAAGGTACAGAGGGCTGACGCCATTTTGGACTCAGCTTATCTGCTTTACAGATGTCCTGAATAAAATTCTGTTCCTGCCAAACAAAGAAGAAAAGAGCCCTGGTCAGTTTGGCTCAGCCGTTAGAGCGTCAGCCCGTGGACCAGAGAGTCCCAGGTTCAATTCCTGCTAAGGGCACGTACCTTGGCTGCAGTTTGTCCCCGGCCCTGGTTGGGGTCGTGTGGGTGGCAGCCAGTCAATGTGTCTCTCTCACGTGAATGTTTCTCTCTCTCTCCCTCCCACTCTGTCTGAAGATACATGCAAAAAGTGTCCTCGGGTGAGGATAAAAAAAGAAAGAAAGGTCCAGAGAACCAATTGTTGGTTACTAGAGGTGGGGGTGGGGGTGAACTGGGTGAAGGAAGTCAAGATGTACAAACCTCTAGGTGTACGGTAAATAGGTCGTAGGGAGGTAAGGGCCAGCACGGCAGCTGCAATGTTGTATGTTTGAAAATTGCTAAGAAAGTACTATGTGAGGTGTGGATGTCAACTAGACTTACTGTAGTGATCATTTCCCAGTATATAAAAATATCCAGTTATTATGTTGTATACCTGGAACTAAATATTACGTGTCAATTATATCTCAATTTTTAAAAGGAGAGAAGCAGTGGGGATTGTGTGGGAGGTGCTGCAGAAGCCGGTCCTTAGACCACTCGAACCCTCCTGGCTCTTGCTGATTCGGACTGGGGCTTCCCCTAAGGGTGGTCCTGCCTAGCACTGGGCTTCTGGCTGCTTGCCCCGGGGATGGGAAGATTTGCCCCGGGAACTTGGGCTGTGAGGCCCAGAAGGGTGAGAGGGCCGTTCCCCTTCTCCTCCCACAGATTGAAGTGAAACTCTCGGTCAAGTTCACCAGCCGGGAGTTCAGCTTGAAGAGAATGCCCTCCCGAAAGCAGACGGGGGTCTTCGGAGTCAAGATTGCCGTGGTCACCAAGTGAGTGTCGAGGGACTTGGACTCTTGGCTTCTTGTCCTCCCACCCCCAAGGTGTTTCTAGAGGAAAGAGCGGGTGTGGGTCTCCCCTCTGTGCACGGCATAGTCACTGCATAAGTTGCCTCCCAGGCCCGGAGGGACACTGTGCTTAGCTGCCCCCACGTTTACTGCAAAACATCCCTGTAAGCTGTACCCTCGTCCCTTTCCTGTGGGGGTGGGTTGGCCCCCACTCGACTCCCGGAACTGTGCAAGGATGGGATTTTCTTCCCGTACTCAGAATGTGTCATGATCTGGGTTCCTGTTGAATGATGGCAGCCCCTGCCCCTTCGTCATGGGTCAGTCTCCAGGAGAAGCCTGTGTGTTGGTTTGAGGGCAGTTCTTAGGGACACAGGCCACTTCCTCCCAGAACTCATTCACTTACTCTGTTGGAATCTGGCTGGGCCCCTGACCTTGCTGTTCATCCAGGCCAAGGCCTGCGTCAGGCATTTCCCAGACACCTAATTATGTCAAAACACTGCTCCCCACCCCCAGCCGCACCCCAGCCGTTCCCACAGACCTCTGGGATGGTTAGGATATGAGCAGAGAGGACTCCATCAGCAACTAGCCCGAGTAGGCACCATTAATGAGGGTGACTCTCGGAAGAGCCCTGCTGGGCCCCTGAATCCAGTTGCTAAACTAGACTAAAGCCAGTCCTCCAAACAGCACCAGCTCCTATTTTTGAAGCATTTTTACTCCAGGATCCTACATGGAGGAATTGTCCACTGTTAGGACTTGTAAGAGAAAAGAGGTTAAAAGGACAGGTTTCTGAGCACAGGTGTTAGGCGGCCCTGTGGAGTCATTCACAAGGCGGACGCTGGTTGAGTGCCTCCTGTGTGCAGGGCTCAGCTCTTACCAGGCCCGGAGGGGCCAGGGATTTGCCTCTGGCACAGCAAGTGGCTGGTAGGGCCAGGGCTGGGTCCCGTCTCCCAACCGAGAGACCAGACTGCTTTCCACAACGCTGCACTGCTGCTACCTGTTAACCCAAGGCCTGGGATCTTTTAACTGGACTCCCTGCCATCAAGTCCACTTAGAAAGGCCTCCTGACCTCCTCCTCAAGATCGTATGTAACTCCCAGGTCGTCTGGCTACCGGAGCTCATGCAAAGGCCCTGATAAGATATAAGCAATGATAGTCATGAGCTCACGGAGTGGACAAGGTTCTGTGTGCAGCTCGCACCTGGCGCCTTTGTCACCTGACTCCAGGTGTCCAGACAGGCAATGATGGCACCTCACTGTGGCTCACACCAGGGCTGCTGGGCACTAAAGGTGTTTCTCCTTCCCCACAGGAGGGAGAGGTCCAAGGTGCCCTACATTGTGCGCCAGTGCGTGGAAGAGATCGAGCGCCGGGGCATGGAGGAAGTGGGTATCTACCGCGTGTCCGGAGTGGCCACAGACATCCAGGCACTGAAGGCGGCCTTTGATGTCAGTGAGTGTCGGCCCTGGGCACTGTGGGATGGGGATGTGGGCGTAGTTCTGTGCTGACTCTCAGGGTACCCTCTGTGGCCTGTGCTTATTATATCACGCTCTGTACATTCTCTTCACTAAAAATGAGAAGGAAACAGTTGTGGGAGGCTTTTTTTTTCCATCCTTACCCGAGGACATTCTTCCATTTTTGTTCAGATGGGGGGGCGGGGAGAGGAACATTGACGTGGAAGGGACACATGGAGTAGCTGCCTCCTGCACGACCCCAACCAGGGCTGGGGACGAACTGCATCCGAGGGAGGTACCACTTCTTAACCCCTGTCACCGTGCGTGGCTCTTGCTGAGTTGGACCAGGGGCCTCCCCTTGGGGCCTTTTTGCTGGGGCCGGGGCTCAGCCTGCTTTCCCTGGGGTTGGCACAGGTGCCGAGCGAAGCCTGGGGCCAGTGGTCTGACCAGTGGGAAAGCCGTGAGAGAGCTCGAGAGGAGCAGGTCCAGCCGTGTGCAGCGTCTCTGTCTCCCTCACCTTCACGCACCAACCAGTTGGTGGGACAGCCCCAGCTGCAGACACCGAGACCCCAGAGGGCCCTCAGCGTGGAAGGTGGCAGAGCCAGGACACAGTGCCGGCACACTTCACCCTCCCTGGCCTGGAGCCCTGGAGGGTCACCACCCTCCCCCGGCCCCCGGTGACCAGAGTGGGCCTGGACTGTGGCGCAGAGGGCCAGTGGCCTCCTGAGCCCGAAGCAAAGGCGCTGGCTTAGACACTGAAACCGTGAAGCAGAATCTATGACCCATTGTCTTCCTGTTAGAAGATGCCGGAGCTGGGCGGTGGTTACAGGGTAGAGCCACACGGCCCAGGCTCTGTGTCTGTCCTCCTTCGCCAGGCTGCCCCTTGCCCAGCAGGGAGTGTGGGGAGGACATATGGGAGGGTGTTTGGAAGGAGTAAGATGAACTGCTAAAAGGAGAGGAGCCCAAAAAGCAGTCAGCCAGGCAAGGGGAGCAGAACCCGGTTCGGGATCCGGGAGTAACCGCATTGTTCCGTTTCTGTGCACTGTCCAGATAACAAAGATGTGTCTGTGATGATGAGCGAGATGGACGTCAATGCCATCGCCGGGACCCTGAAGCTCTACTTCCGCGAGCTGCCCGAGCCCCTCTTCACCGACGAGTTCTACCCCAACTTCGCCGAGGGCATCGGTGAGCACGGGTGGCTTCTCCCACGCCCCTCTCATCTGCTGTGTCCCCCTGCCATGGTCTGTGTTTCAGCCCCAACTCTGCATGTGCCGGGGGAACCCAGAACCAAACCAGTCCTAGAAGGCCTCTGTCTGTCCTCTAGCCACCTGCTGTCCTGTCCCTGAGTAGCTTGAGAGGGTATATGCCTGGGGGCCAGGTCATGGAGGCTGCCAACCTCCTCACTGGAACACCTGTCCTGCTTCCTAACACCAGGTCCTCGCACATCAGTGTGTCTACCTTCAAACCTGGGCTTGACCCTAAGTCAACCTGGAGGGTAGTGTCCAGGCAGGGGGCCCTGGTGTACAGGGCAGCTGCAGCCTCAGCACCCTGCCTCTGGCTGTTCAGTAAGGGGCCTGGTTCCCCATGTGCACAGGGTGATAAAGGAGTCCCCAGGGCCTTGCAGCTCTCCTGCCCTCAGCCTGCCTGTTTCATTCCCAGCCTGGCTTCCCTTGCCTGGGGCTCTTCTGAGCAGGAGATGGGAATGGCTAAGTCCATGTTTCATGTGGTGCTTTGACACCTTTCAGGTAGAGAAAAGGTGTTCAAAGGGGCTCGTTCCCATACAGGCTCCTATCACAGGGTCCTGGGAATAGTGCTGCATGAGCCAGGGTGATGACAGCCCTGGACTGTCCTATGCCCAGTGACCCCAAGTAGTAATAGCTTCCCCCCCTGCAGCTCTTTCAGACCCTGTTGCAAAAGAGAGCTGCATGCTTAACTTGCTGCTGTCGCTCCCGGAAGCCAACCTGCTGACCTTCCTCTTCCTCCTGGACCACCTGAAAAGGTAACCGCAGCTGTTCCTCGGGACTGGACTCCTCTGTGCCCCACTGGCTCCTGTCAGACCCCTTGGCAGCAGGGGCCTTCTCTCCCCACCCGTCTGGAGCTACTCGCCCACTCTGGGCACCGCCACCTTCTTCCCGCCCCTCCCCCTGCATCATGGCCTTAAGAGTGAGGTGCTTTGGCCACAGCCAGCATTGTGCTTAGACCCCACCCCCCCAACCCAGGTCATGGCCCAGCCACCTGTTGGCCTCAAGTGCTCTTCATTCTGGCCCCTGAGACCCAGGAGAACCAGGGTGGGTTATCTGTGCTGTGGAGCCAGCCCAAAGCAGAAAAGGGTGGCACCTATCACCACTTTCCCTGAGGACTCCAGGGTGGCCTGGCCCCTCTGCCTCACCGCCGTCCTGAAGGCAGTGTCCCAACAGCACCCTCTGCTTTGTCCTTCCTCAGGGTGGCAGAAAAGGAGACAGTAAACAAGATGTCCCTGCACAACCTTGCCACGGTCTTTGGCCCCACGCTGCTCCGGCCCTCGGAGAAGGAGAGCAAGCTCCCTGCCAACCCTAGCCAGCCCATCTCCATGACTGACAGCTGGTCCCTGGAGGTCATGTCCCAGGTACGAGAAGGGCTGCAGCCACGGCACCCAGCATCACAGAGGTGACCTCTGCCTGCCCCACCCTGAGTCCTGCCAGTCGCTACTCAAATTGTACAGGGGAGGTAGCCAGAGAGGGACTTGCCTGGGGAGGGCTCTTCCCTTTGTACCTTACTGGGCTTCTCAGGGTGGTCCTTTAGGGCACCCAGACCTCCTGCTGTGAGGGGCTCATGCACCCTGAGCTGGCTCTATGGACGGTTGGCAGGCCGTGTTTTCACCCTCCTGCTCTGCTCCGGCAGGTCCAGGTGCTGCTCTACTTCCTGCAGCTGGAGGCCATCCCTGCTCCGGACAGCAAGAGACAGAGCATCCTATTCTCCACTGAAGTCTAAAGGCCCAACTCCATCTCCAAGAGGCCAGCAGAACAGCCTGGAAAACTCCTGGCGAAACAGGCCATCCATACAGCAGGAACCGAATCTTCTTGAGGAGTAATTGGGCCACCCCTGAGAGCCAGGCCATCTGCCAAGAGACAGCTAGCTACCCAAGGCAAAAGGCCCAGTGGCCTGGGCAGTCTGGGCCCCCATCCTGTGGGCCTTTGAGCTCCCGGCTGGCCTCAGACTCTGGTTTTCCATACTGCCACCAGAGGGCGCCCCAAAGCCAGCACAGCTCAGAGTGCGGGCCTGGCCAGAGACCAGGCGAAGGGAGTGGTTTTTATGAACTTTTCAGAGTTTAAAAGATTTCTACTGGATCACTTGTCAAGATGCACCCTCTCCAGGGAGAAGGGAACACGGCTAGATTCCCTCACTATCGTGTCTTGAATAAACACTGCTGCTGCATCATACCATGGGGGCCACAGCCCCGTCCCTCTGTGGATTGGGGCACTTAGATTTTCCTGACTTAAAAATTTCTGTCCTTTGAAACACTGTGTAGCATTTGACCCCTTTCACTTCCTTTCTTCATTTTCTTTCTAGAAGGATCTGTGCAGAAATGGGTCTTCTTCCTCTTCCGTCCTGTTGCATTGTTTTTGCAGATCACGTGCCCCTCTGAAGGCAGCCCCCCACGTAACGTCCAGGACTGGACACCAAGGGGCAGGAGGCCCAGGCGGCGCACTTTACGGCTTGTTCTCCGGGGAGAGTGACCCCTGCCCACCATCCCACCCCCCGCTGGGCACATGCTGTCCTCTTCAGCTTAAGAAGGCCTTGATCTCTACCTTACCCCAGCCTGTCACCCCTTCTGCCCCCTCTCTCCCTTCCCCAAGTCGTCCCCCCTTATAGATTGCTTCAGTTCCTCGCTCTCTGCTGAACAAACTCAGTAAATTTTTGTAAAAGTTTCCTCTTGGCGGCATCTTGCTGACAGCTTGTTTTAAACTTTGATCCGAATAGCCTTTTGATACTTGAATATTTTTAAGTTTTATACATAGTTTCTAATTTTTTTCCTAACAGATTCAGTTACCTAATAAGATATTAGAATGTACTCTGGGGACAGCCCGCGTCCCAGCGGCATTTTGTCTTCCTCTAAGCGCCAGCTCTCTTCATCAGGAGCCGTTTCCGAAGCCTCCAGAGCACCGAGTGGGCGTGGGCTGCTCCACAGGTCAGGGCGGGGGCGGCGGCTCCCGTGCCAGAGCCAGAGCAGGCCGAAGGACAGACCTGCCACCATCCCCGCCCCGCCACCCGACATTCCTGGGACCCTCCTGACTTAGAGGGAAGAGAACTGGGAAGCCACTAAGTATTTTGAAGAAACAAGTCTATGGACATTGTGTCACTCTTTTAAAAAAGGGGTTGGGGTGAAGGAGGAAAAAACTGTGAGAGACAGAGTTTCCACGCTGGTCTTGCAGGAAGAGAGGATGTAACTAACCGGAGGAGGGAAGCCATGGTGTGACTCAGGAAAAGGTGTTAAGTTGTAATGTGATTACACCAGTAACCAGTGGCACTGTTCCATGGTCCCTCCCACGTCCCTGGAGAGGTTGAGGGCTCACTCAGTGTCGGAGTGCAGCTCTCTCCTCTGACTGTGGACCTGCCGAGCCGGGGGCAGAAAACAGTCACTTGAAGGTCTTACGTCTGCATACTGTATTTATTTAGTTGTACTTTTTTCTTTCAAGGAGAGCAGACCCCCCCATTTGAAAGCAGTGCCGCTCTCCTGGGGGATAAGGGCAGGGAGCAGGGTCCTCCAGCCTCCGCACATTTCTGGACTCAGTGGTTTCCTGGGGTTCCTCCGGCCTGGCTTCCCATCCCCATCTCAGCAAACCTCCGGCCCTGCAACAGGAACACACTTTGCTTGAAGAAGCCAAGCCCAGCCCTTGTCTCTCTCCCCTGGTGTCTCATGGTTTGCCTCTGTCGCATTGAAACTGGAGAGCAATATATTGATGTCTGTGCCAATCTCCGTCCCCTCTCCCACCTCCTTCCCTTTTTACTTTTATTTATATAGAATATGTGCCGATTAATGATGGAATGACCACTTCTGTAGCTGTAAAGGCGCTCCTTTGCTGGCCACAGTGGCAGTGGTCACTTGGGATTCCCCGCTGCCCCTGTTCCGTCTAACATGCGGGCCTGTGGGTCGGCCAAGCCAGCTGGGGCAGGGGAAGGCCTGGAGCCCAGATGCCACCTTCCACACGGTTTGGCTGTCAGATACTACAACAAGAAGTGATGCTTCCTAGCCCTAGGCCCTGGGTCTGGAGCCGTGAGCTCGACTCCCTCAGAGCGGCTGGCCTTCCCTGCAGGGCTGGCTGGTCTCTCAGCAGCTACATTTCTGCTTTCGAGCTCCACCATCTATATACCACTGTCGGGGGAGGGGCTGCTGACACTTTCATTAAAGTTACCTGAGACTATTTGGCATTAGTGGTGATTGTTGCATGAGAAAAAAAACAACTGTGACCAGTGCCTCTGGGATGGGTTGGGGTGAGCAGTGGAGCTGGGAAAAGCGAAGGGCCAGGTGCCCTGTAGGCCTCCAGGACGGTAGTGCACAAGCCGCTGTGGAGAAGCCAGGCCTGGTGGTGCCGCTGGACAGCGTTAGGACACGGAGCAGAGCAGTCACTCCCAGCATCAGGAGCTTAGGGCCATCGGGTGTGAGATAGGGCCGGGGGCACCAGCTGTGCTGGGCCCAGGGGCAGGGAGGCCTCCAGCCACACCCAGCCTGGCCCTGCCGAGCCCCTCGGTCTCCGTGGTGCTGCCAGGTCTGGACTCCCCTGCAGGCACAGGCCGCTCTTAGCCGCTACCTGCTTTGCATTCAGTATCTGGCCCGGAAAAGGTTTTAGTTTCTCTATCCCTACCTTCCCAGTCCTGTTTGGAGACCTTTAACAAGTCCTACTGTGTGTCTTTTGCTAGGAGTGGGTTTTCGGGCAAGAGCTGACTGTCCCCATGTTTCTGAGAGCAGGGACTGCGTCTAGCCCAGACCAGTGGCATGGCCCACAAAGCAGGACCATTCGCTGCTGCCCAGAATCTGAGATCCTCACACTTCAACCACAACAGGCCTCTTAGTCCAATGCTTTCACTGGATAGATGGGTAAACTGAGGCACACAAAGCCCCCCCACACACACTCAGCATCCCAGAGCTGGCTGATGAGCAGAAGCTGGGGTCTCAGTGTCTTGATTGCCCCCCGAACTCACTCCCTTTCTGCTCGTCCAGACACTGCACTGGTCTGGACGTGGCTGTGTTCACGAAGGCACATGGGCCGAGGCCTGGTGTTGCGCGCACACCCTGGGGACATAAGAGGGCAGGATTTGGTATAAAAATCTCAGAAGAGCCCTGGCCGATGTGGCTCGGTTGGTTGGAGCGTTGTCCTGTACACCAAAAAGTCGCAGTTTAATTCCTGGTCAGGGTATATATGAGACAACAAATCAGTGTTTCTCTCCCTCTCTAAAAAAAATAATTTTTTTTTAAATCTCAGGATTTTTATACCCACCCCACGTCACCCCCAAAGAATGCCCCAAATGCCTTAAAAGGAAGTGTTTCCACAGGCTAACGATGGGCTGTCAAAAAATAGCTCTGGAAAGATAAACAGAAAAACTGAGGGGGTGACAGGCACACCCAACTCTTGAAGAAGCCAAAAAGGCCTCCCAGAGCTGCTGCCATGGGTCACCCCTGGGTGAGGGGGGAACGGCCGGACGTTGGTGGGGGGAGTGTGACGAGTGGGAGAGCGATGGGTCAGCTGCCAGGCAGAGCCCTGCGTCACCCAAGTTCTCCCAGCACAGAAAGGCCAGCCAGGGCCAGGATGAGGAACTGGCACCCACATAAGTGTTCTAGAAGACGTGTCCAGATTGGAAAGGAAACCAGGGGCTTCGGGAGACCAAGGCCACTTGTCTGAGAGCTCCCAGAAGGGATGAGCCGAGTGTCCTGAGCCAGCCAGACGACTGGACACCGCACGGCTATGTCCCGAGACTGGCCTCCGGGCTTCTCTGTTCGGCTAGAACAGCGAGGGCTCAGTCCACACACCAACTACTTTTCTGTTCCCCTCGTGTGGATGGACCTGGGCAGGCCTGACCACAAACTCTCCTTAGGGTTTTCCATCACTGTGTGGAAACTGGCACCTGGGGACGTGTGGACCAAAAGGGCTTCTGGCCACAGAGGCCTGAGGAGTGGGGCCTAAGCAGGCTCAGTCCAGATAGCTGCAGGCTGAGCTGACATCAGCAGAGTGGCCGCCCCAGACACGGGACTCCCCAGGGGCTCCAGAGCTTGAGTGAACACAGACAAACAGACCTTTCGAACCTATGGCATGGCCAGCATGGGTAATTCAGACCCATCCAGGGGGAAGCAGATGCTGCAGTGCTCATTTAAATACAGCTACCTTTTGCCTGGCCAGTGTGGCTCAGTGGTTGAGCATCGACCCATGCACCAAGAGGTCGCCAGTTCAATTCCCAGTCAGGGCACATGCCCAGGTTGTGGGCCCAGTCCCCAATGGGGAGCATGCAGGAGGTGGCCAGTCGATGTTGTCTCTCATCGATGCTTCTCTTTCCCTCTCCCGCTCGCTCTAAAAATCAATAAAAGAAAAAAAAATTTTTTTTTAATAAATACAGCTACCTTTTAAATCACGTGATGACTGCTGCCTTGCCAGGGTGGCAGTGACGGGCCCCTTGGGTTTGCTGGCTTGTCTCCTGTGTGCGGCCGCCCAGTGCTCCAATGAACCCCACCTCCCCTGCCCCACCCCGGGCTCCAGGGGGAAATGGGGTCAGGAGGAGAGAAAACAATGGGGACAGGGGAAGGCCTGCTATTTCTTCTGTTTTCTGAAAATATTTACAGTGTTGGTGGTGGTCAGAAGTTATTTGGAACAAGACACAGCGTCTGGGAACTTGGTGTTCTCTAGACAGTCACTCCTGAACGGCATTCCTAAGTGGCCCGTCATCTGGTGACAGCCAGGAGAAGCCACCTGGGGCTCCAGACCAGTGAGTGGCTGCCGTGAGGGCCCTATCCTCCCAGGCCGGCTGGCCGTGGGCCTCTGTTTGAGCCTCCCCTACCTTCTGCTAAACCCACCTCCTGGTGATGCCACCCTGAGTGCGAGTTCAGTGGCGGGCATTACCCTTCCTGGCTGCCCTGGAGTTTGTAGGACTCCCACCACTTCATGGTTGTTACGAACTGAATTGTGTCTCCATCCCAAATTCTATGTTGAAGCCCCAACCCCCAATGTGACTGTATTGAGAGAGAAAGCCTTTAGGAGGTGATTAAGGTTGAATGGAGGTCCTGATCTGATAGGACTAGTGTCCTCATAAGAAAAGGAAGAGCCCTGGCTGGTTTGGCTCAGCAGACCGCCACTCTAACCGTTAGAGCGTCAGCCCTCAAACCAATGAGTCACGGGTTCGATTCCAGTCAAGGGCACGTACCTCGGTTGTGGTTCGTCCCTGGC